TTTTTATACATTTTGTATACTACTCCTTCAATCCATGTAGTGTCAAAAGCATTTTCAAGATCTAGACTCACCAATATGGTTGCCTTCTTATTTCTAAGATTAGTTGTTACTGTGTCTGATAAGATAGTAAGGGCCTGATTAGTACCTAGTCTGCTTCGAAATCCGAACTGAAAATCTCTTAGTATGTCATTTTGAGAAATGTGCTCTTAGATTTTATCGAGCAAGGCACCTTCTAACAGCTTACTGATATTAGAAAGCATTGAAATAGAATTAAAAGTTATTTTAATATTTTTTGCATCTGAGTTGGGCTTTAATATGGGCACAGTCTTAACACATTTCCATCTTGCAGGACAATAGCCTAAATTGTAACAATGATTGAAAAGAATCGCTAAGAATTCCCAAAAGCAGGAAGAAGTTTTTCGTAAAAAGCAATTGGATACCCCGTCTTCACCAAAACTTTTCTTATTGTTTTTCCACCACAACAAAAATTCAATATCTTTACAGGATATGAACTGCTTGTATTCAGATTTTAAAGCTGCTTCCTCATTTCCGCTTGTTGAAGACAAACCATTAGCTAAAAATGATTTATTGAAATTGAAAAATGGAGTGTATCCTGTAATACTCTCAATTTCATTTTTGACATACTGAGTATGCGCCACAGAACCTACACTTAAATTTTGAGAATGTACTTGCTCGAATCTATCAGCTAATTTGTTGATTTTCTGGAAGTTAGATTCTACCAGACAACCCTCTTCGTCAATCAACTCCGGTAAATCATATTGCCGTTTAACTCCGCTAAGGTTTTTAACCTTCCGATAGGTTTTTTCATCCATTTGCATATTTTTCAAAAAATTAGACCAATACTCGTCTTCGTGTAATATCAGCAGTTCTGAAATGAGCTTGTCCATGTTTCTCCTGATGGCAATCAGGGTGGATTTCCGATGAGGCTCCATACACATATTCTTTATTCTTTATTCTTTATTTAAAATTAGTACAATAAGACTTAGTCTTTTGAAGTACAACAGCAATATAAGTAACTAGACAGATTTAGAGGTAATATTAATACTATTAATGCTGGGAATAAAACAATAGATGTACAAACTAAAAATTATGGACTAGATAAAAACTTAAATATTAAGAAGGTTCATCAACTAGACGAGAAATATGTATGGAGGGAACTTTTAAAGTTGCACCAAAAAATTTTTCTCCTGATCTTTTTCTTTCATGAATAAAATCAAGAATATTTTGTGGAATATTTAAG